CGGAGCGAGGGGGCGCTGCCAAGAAAATCACGCGTCTTCCTTCCCGTGGCCGTTCCCACTGTGGCTCCCGTGACTTCCCGCGGCTCCAGTGACTTCCCGTAACCCCTCCTGGCATCTAGGACATCTGGAATTTGGGGCGGCGCCTCCCCCCCCCCCCGGGGCCACACCCCGCGGCTCCGCCCTGGAGCCTCCAGTTTCCTTCCCAGTCCGCCCGGCATGCAGACGAGCGGCTGCCGGACACCGAGGAGGCGCCGGCGCGGAGCAGGTGAGGGGCGGGAGGGTGGGAGGGTGCTCAGACGGGAGGGGGCTCGGAGGACGGGATGAGGCTCCGAGTTGGGAGGCTCCCTGGACTCTGGGTTGCCGAGGAGCGAGCGCGGGATTCCCCTCTTGCTGCCAAGACTGGACTCCCCGTGCCCGACCTGTCGTCCGCCCGGGCGCAGGGTGTCCGCCTGGAGGGGAGGGGACGGAGCTGCGGGTCCGTCGCCATGGCCGGCTGGGGGTGGGGGGTCGGAGGGGGGCAGAGATGTGCCCCGCGCCCCCCCACGCCCAGCGGAGTCGGGGCGCGCTCTCGGGCACACCTGCACCCACACTGTGCGCCCGCACGCAGGGGCACTCCTGGGGGTGCGCACACGCATGGACTCTGCTCCCGCACACTGCGCCTACTCACAGACGTCGTAACACAAGGGACCCGCCGGCACTGCCCTAACCAAGGGGGTGTCTGAGTTCAGCCCCCGCGGGTGGTGCCCTAAAGGATGAAAGCTGCCTTCCACCAGTAGGTGGGGAGCCCTCCTGTCTCAGGGCTTGGGGGTCTGGGGGAGGGGGGCGGGGGATGTGTTTCCAGCGACAGGAACTAGGATGGGGGGCAGGGGCAGCCGGGCAGTGGGGACAGTCGGCAAAGGCTGTGGGGAGCTGGTTTGCCTGGCCTGGACAGGGACCAGCCTCCCCAGCCGGGGTCCCTCCCCCAAATATCGCCCGGAACGTGCTCACACCACAGGGGGCATTCAGAGGTGGCTGTGCCCGAGCGCATTTCTTCCTAATAAATCCTGTTGGGGCTGGGAATCCCTGGCGCAGGCTGGTGCCCCAGCCTCCTCCTCCCCCGCCCCTTCCCGCCAGGGCTGGGCGCCCCAGCAGCTGGGCTCAGCCTAGGTGGTGCTCGGGGTGTTCCCAGCCCCTCCCTCCATCCTGAGGCCCGAGACCTCCCACACCCACAGCACAGGCCCAGGCAGTCCCTGCTCCCATCCTCCCGGCTCCCGGCTCCCAGGAGGACACTCTCCCGGGGCGGGTCCCAGGGGTGAGAGTCCCTGCGAGGGCCGCAGGGACACACCTGGGTGGCACAGTGGTTTGGGCCAAAAGACAGGCACTGGCCAAGGTGCAGAGCCGGCTCTCCATGCCACCAGTGTGACGGGGGCTGGCAGGAAGATGGTTTCGGTTTAGGGGCAGAGGTGCGTCAGGTTGTCTCTACCCAGACTGCGGTCACGCAGGGCTTCTGGGGGTGGGCAGGGCCACGGGAGAGTGGCAGAGGGCGGCCAGGGCCTCGACAGGTTCAGAGCAGCCTGCCCCTGACCAGGCCTGCCCCCGGGGGACCCCACCTCAGCGGGCAGACACCTCCCCGGGGACCCCACCTCAGCGGGCAGACACCTCCCCGGGGGACACCCCGGGACACAGTGGAGCTGGCCGGGCCATCTTCCAGAAGTCACACCCACGGGGACACCAGGTGGTGGGAGGGGCCGAGCACTCGGCATGTCCGGTGGTCACGGGCGTGTTTGCAGGGAGAGGCTCGAGCAGATGATGAGGACTGAGTCCGTGTGAAACAGTTGTTAGGATTCAGGGTCTGAGGTGTCATGGAAACCGAGTGGGGTGGGGACTGGGAGGCAGGCAGGGCCTGGAGGCGGCGGGCAGACAGAATGCCCGACAGCAAAGATGGCCAGTCTGGGCAGTGAGGCCCTGTCCCCCTGGCCTCTGGAGTTCTTTTCTTCTTCTTCCCTTCTTCTCCTTCTCCTTCTCCTTCTCCTTCTCCTTCTCCTTCTCCTCCTCCTCCTTCTTCTCCTCCTCCTCCCCCTCCTCCTCCTCCTCCTCTTCCTCCTCCTCCTCCTCCTCCTCCTCCTCCTCCTTCTTCTTCTTATTTCTTTATTGATTTCAGAGAGGAAGGGAGAGGGGGAGAGATGGAAACATCAGTGATGAGGGAGAATCATTGTTCGGCTGCCTCCTGCTCGCCCCCACTGGGGATCAAGCCCACAGCCGGGGCCTGTACCCTTGACCGGAATTGAACCAGGGACCCTGCAGTCCGCAGGCCGAGCTCTATCCTCTGAGCCACACTGGCCCGGCTCCCTCTTCTGTTTGTGACAGAGGCCTGGCTGCCTCTCTTTCACTTTCCTTTCACTTGTAAACACTCTCCCTGCCGAAGTCCACCTGGGCGGTCAGCCTGTGACCTGCAGACACAACCCCGCCAGGTCCCTCACCTAAGTGTGGTGCTTGGTCCAGGGTCGTTAAGGCTGACCTTTGACCTCCCTAGCTCAGCTGAGGTGGCCCGCCCCTGTGCTGGGTGCCCGAGTGGGCGTGGGTGGGGTCGGGGCTGCAGAGCGATCATGGAAGGCTGCACGGAGGAGGTGGCTCAGCCGACTGAGTCCCCTGACCCGCTCCCGGGCCGGGCTGAGAGGCGGCCATCTGTCCGCTGACTCAGCCAGCATTTCAGGTTGGTGGCCTGGGGCGTGCAAGGCGGGTGTTTATCCGAAGGATGAGCACGGACAGGTCAGGAGAAGGTGTGGGAGGAAGGTCCCAAGGGGGTCTCCCTGACTCCGAGGACCTGGCGTGGCCAGCCAGGGGGCACCCTCCAGGTCACGGGGAGGAGCGCAGGCTGGGCAGAGGCAGCCGCCTCCGTGCCGCTGAGCACTCGCCGCAGCTTTGTCCCTGGAGCCCCCTCCCAGGCTCCGTCCGCCTTCCCCCTCTGCGGGCTGGAGCGGCGGCCTGAGGAGCGTGGCTGCCCCTCAGCCAAGGGCCCGCGTGGCCCGCCCCCGCCCCTGGAGTCTGACTCCCCGACGAGTGTGGGCCAAAGGCTGCGCCGAGGTCCCCGGAGGTGTCGGCCCAGGAGCCCTCCACGTCTGAAGAGGGAGTGGTGGCCGAGCCAGGCTTCCCCGGAGCCAGGGGGGCACGGGCCTGCGGGGCTCCGGGCTCAGAGGCCCCAGGCCTGCTCTTGAGCAGAAGGAGGCTGGGCCCCAGGGCTGCCTGGCTCCTCCAGGCCTGGGTGGCGACCGGAGGGGAGAGTGGGTGCATGGTGTCCTGCCTCACCTGAGGGCCGGCCGCCCGGGTACAGGTCAGGCAGGGTCTCCCCTCAGCTGGTGCCAGGGCTCCAGCCAGGGGTGCAGGTAAGACCCCCAGGATCAGCAAAGCCTGTGGGCCGGGGCCCTCACAGCGTCACGTTCCGGGTCAGATCTTTCCGGGTGAGAACAGTGACTGCCTGGCGGGGGTAGCTCAGTGGGTAGCGCACCGTCCAGCTTTGCCACGGTTGTGGGCTCGATCCCTGGTCAGGGCACATACAAGAGCCAGCCAATGGGCGCTGTCCCTCTGGGCACCACCGCCTTTCCTTCCTCCTTCCCTTTCCCAGAAAGAAAGGCAGAAGAAAAGCTGCTGGCCAACGAAGGAGCAGAACCAAGGGGGCAGCAAGCTGGTGTCTCTCCCTTCCTCTCAAATCCACAGCTCAACAAACAACCCGCACAGAACCCAGGGCCTGGGCCGGGGAGCTCCCGGGAAAAGATGGGTGCCTGCGGGGCTGGGGAGGGGCCAGCATGGCACATGAGGGCGCAGGGGGGAAGGTGAGCGCAGAGAACCGCAAGGGAGGCCGCAGGGCTGGACACCGTGCAGCCCGGGACTGACCTGGCACCCTCAGTGGACTTTAGTCCCTGATTACGTGTCCGTGCGGCTCGCCCTGTGGCAACACTAACACGCTAACACGCTAACACGCTAACACCAGCCGCTCCTGAGGGACGGGGGGGCCTCAAGGAATCCTCTGACAGAACCAACCGTCTACGACCCCCTCTGCCCTGCCTGCCCCCCAAAAGGCGCTTTTTATCAAAGGTCAACAAACGGCCTGACAAGCCATTTTAAAGCACTTCGATTTATTTATTTTTAAAACATATTTGTATTGCCGAGACCAGTTTGGCTCAATGGATAGAGCGTCGACTTGGGGACTGAAGGGACCCGGGTTCGATTCTGGTCAAGGGCATGTACCTTGGTTGCGGGCATATCCCCAGTAGGGGGTGTACAAAAGGCAGCTGATCGATGACTCTCTCTCATCGATGTTTCTAGCTCTCTATCTCTCTCCCTTCCTCTCTATACAAAATCAATAAAATATTTAAAAAAAAACAAAACATATTTGTATTGTTTTCAGAAAGGCAGGGAGAGGGAGTGAGCCTGTGTCCTGGCCAGGAAAGGAACCCTGACCTCCCGGTTCATAGGTCGGTGCTCAGCCAGAGCCACGCCGCCGGCTCTCCGTATTTCTTAGCACCCGGGGGACTGTCGCCTTCCATGTTCCACAGGAGGCGGTGTCGGCGCTGCCACCGCGGCGAGCTCCTAGGGAAGAAGCTTCTGGTCCCTGCCAGCAAACCCAGCACGTGAGCCCAATGTCCGGCGCTGGGGCGCGGGGGTGGGCTGGGCTGGGCGTCCACGGTGGCCGGGTGCTGCCAGGCCAGGGCCCCTCCGAGGCCGAGCGTCCCCCTCACCCCCTCACCCCCCCACCCCGGCACTTTGCGAGTTTTATTCTTGACCCGCAGGGTGAACCCAGGACGAAGCAGGAACCCTCCCGGCTGCTCCTCTGTCTGACAGCGAGAGGGGGGAGGGCCGGCTGCGTGGGGCGGGGGGAGGGGCTGGCCTCGCACCATGGTCAGGAGCCTGGCCCGCCTGCCCCGCCCTGCAGCCCGTGACCAGGGCTCCCTTCCTCCAGGAGAACCAATGAGGCCTCAGGTCCTGCTGGCCCCTTAGACCTCAGCACCCGCCCTGTCCCCACGATGCTGCTCTGGGCCCTCCTGCTCACACTCCTCTCCCAGGGTGCTGGGGCCCAAAGTGAGTCTGACCTCCCTCCCTCTCCCTCTCCCCCTCCCCCTCCCTGTCCTCCTTCCCCTCTCCCTCTCCTTCTCTCCTTTTCCCTTCTTCCCTTCCTCTCTTCCTCTCCCTCCCTCTCTCCTTCTCTTTTTTCCCTCCCTCTCTCCCTCTTCCCCTCTCCCTCTCTCCCCCTCTACCTCCCTCTCTCTCTCTTCCCCTCTCCCTCTCCCCTCCCCCTCCCCCTCTCTCTCTCCTTCCCCCTCTCCCTCTTCATCTTTCCCTCTTCCTCTCCATCTCATTCTCTCCTTTTTCCTCCTTCCCTCCCTCTCTCCCTCTCTTCCTCTCTCTCCCCCTCTCCCTCTCTCTCCCTCTCTCCCTCTCTCTGGGGGTGGGGGGTGGGGGTGGGGGGGCAGTGGGGGAAGGAGCACACCCAGGCGGGCGCAGGCCCAGGGACTGCCGGTGGCCCCAGGAAGGGCTGTGGGTGAACGTGTGAATGTCCCCCCACAGCCTGGGACGACCCGCGTGAATGTCCCCCCACCGCCTGGGACCACCCCGCCTGCACGGAGGGCGCCGTGTTGGTGACCAGCGGGGCGCCTGCTGAGATGACCTGCAATATCTCCAACGCCTTCTTCAAAGTCAGGGTCTGCTTGCGGGCCCCTGGCCGGAAGGCCTGCCGGCCCGTCTTCGCCCAGGCGGCTCCCGGGTGCTCCTCCCGGGGCGGGTGGCGGCTCTGTGTTGAGGGCGGCTCGGCGAGGATGGTGACAGAGGAAGCCCAGGGCAGCCAGGCTGGCGAGTACCAGTGGACCCTCATGGGGTGCCAGAAAGATCAATCATTCACCTACCTGAACGTTTCAGGTGAGGAGCGGGGCCTGCACTCCCCCGGTCCCCACGGTCGCTGCGATTTCTCTCCGTGTCCAGTGCCCCCCACACTGTCCGCCTCCCTCCGTGGCCTCCTCTCCACCGCCCGCCCTGTCCCCTTGCTCCCTTAAGATCCGCCCACTTTGGTTCACTGAGAAAGTGGGACCAATCAGCTGAGACCCACCCCAACCCTCGCCTCTCCCTCACCTCTGTGCCCCCTGTGCCTCCTGGACACCAGCCCCCTCGGTTCCCGGACCACCATCGTGCTGTCTGCCCAGGAGCTCTGCCCCCTCGCCCCCTAAGTCCCCCTCACCGCCCGCCCCTCTTCCTTTGCTCAGCGCTGAAGTCTCCACAGCCCCTCCCACTTCTGCGGCCTGAGGGGGCGCTGTGGGGCATGGGCCCTGGGGGGCAGTGAGCCCAGCCCTGGCCCCGGGGGCCCCCTGACCACCCTTATCTCCCTACAGAGCCTCCTGAGCAGCCCTCCACACCCCCTTGGGGTAGGTGTCGTCCTCCAGAGCTGTGGGAGGGGGGTGCCTGGGCACCCCCTTCCCTGCACACTATCTGTCCCTGGGCTTCTGGCCGGGTGCTGTCCCCCTGGGTGTGTTCCAGGAGGCCGTGGCCACCCATGATTCCTGCCGCCATAGGGACCCAGGACCTGCCCTCGGCCCAGGACCCCCTCCCGGCCCAGGACCTGCACTCGGCCCAGGACCCGCCCCCAGGGCGGCTGCATGTGGTCCTCATCCTGGTCCCCATGCTGCTGCTGCTCTGCATCCTGGCACTGGGAGGCCAGTGCTGGCACGGGAACCGTGCTCGCCCCGTGCCCGTTCAGTTCGAGTAGGCGGCCTGTGGGCTGGGCGGGAAGGGTGGTCCAGGGTCTCAGAGGACCCCAGTGGCTGCCGGCCCCCACTTCGTCCCCAGGACACCCTGGAGGGCCGTATGGAGCTGGACTTCTATGAGACCCAGGACACGTGGCACACGCGTGTCTGTGGGTGCCTGAGCCTGCTCAGCCCCATCGCTCACGCCCTCCCTTCCTCAGGTGAGTAGGCAGTGCCCATCCGAGCGGAAGCAGGCCCAGCTGGCACCCGGAACCCAGGCCCTGAGCCCACCCCAAGGCCGACCCCCAGCAGTGAGCCTGTGCCCCTGCCCGGTCTGGTGGGCGGGGCCGTGGGCTGGCAGAGACCTGGCCCTGTGCAGGGCCTCCACCAGGCGGGCCCTCGGGAGAGCTGGCCTGCTGGTCCCTCACACCGGAGCCCGGGCTCCGCCTGCTCCCCCTCCCTCCCTCCCGGCTCCTCTCCCACCACCTAAAACGTGAACATCTCAGGCTCCAGAGCCCTAAGGGGACAGCCCCTCTGCACCCCTCCTTCCCGGTGGGGAGGGGGCTCCTTCTGGGACCAGCTGTGCCTCCAGCGTGTCCAGGTTCGGTCTGCAGTTGATCTCGGGCCTACTCTGCCTGACTCTGAGCAAGAATGAGTGTTGGGGACCCTCCTGCAGGCAGTCGCTAGGCCAAGGTGGGGCCATTAGAGGCCTAAGATGCTGTGTGCCCGCCTCCACCACGAGGGGGCGCACATCCCTCTGCAAAGAGATGGGCAGGTCGCTGCGGGCTTGAGCTGTGGGCCCCACCACTCCCCCCCTGCCCTGTCCGCTGGCCGTCCCTCACCCCAAAACCACAGCCACACGCCTGCATCATCCCCACCAGGCACTGAACGGAGTCCATCTTTACTGAGTACATGTGCTTTGAAAAACATCCCTGAGGCTAACTTTTAAAAAATACATTTTATTGATTTCAGAGAGGAAAGGAGAGGGAGAGAGAGAAACATCAACGATGAGAGACTCATGGATCGACTGCCTCCTGCACGCCCCACTGGTTGGAGCCTAACCCTAACCCAACCCGGCCTCTGCCCTGACCAGAATCCAGCCCTGCCTTCTGTTTCACCGGTCACCGCTCAACCCTGAGCCACGCCAGTGGGGCCCTCACGCCAGCTCTTAAATAAAATAAAGTAACACAATGGGCGAACCGTCAGTGATCATTTTGTAAATGGAAAAATACGTAAAAACTAAAAAACAAAAAAATAAGTAAAAGCTTCGTGCGGGGGCAGGAGTCTCACCCTCAGGCATCAGGGAGGCAGGCTCTGGACGCCCGGGCGGCCCCTCCCCACGGCGACGGGACCGGCCCCTCGGGCGCCAGGGCCCGGAACCCGGGGCTGAGAGGCTCGGCCACTGCAGGGCCTGGTGGTGCCCCCGCGGGGCTATGGCTGGCCGCAGGCACCGGCAGGGCACCCAGGCCCCTGCTCTGGGGCCACGGGGGCCACGCTTTTCCGTGGCCGAAGCAGGCTGCATTCGGGAAGTCAGAGGCACCCTGGGCCCCGGCCGGTTTTCTCAGCGGCTAGAGCAGGGTGGCTGGCCGAAGGGTCTCGGGTTTGGTGCCCAGTCAAGGGCATGGGCACGTCCCTGGGGTGCAGGTCTGTTCTGGGCCTGGTCGGGGCACATGCGGGAGGCAACCAATCGATGTTTCTCTCTCTCCCCCTCCCCCCTCCCTCCCTCTCTCTCTAAAAAATCAATGGAAAAAGGATCCTTGGTGAAGATTAACAACAAAAAGCAAAACAACAAAAAAGTCATTTTAATCTTGAGGGGGTTAAAGGCCGGACACGTGGAAAGAGCTGCTCCTGGTGCGTGGCCCTCTCGTGGGTCTGTTCCCGGACAGCCCCCTGCGGCGGCTGCGAGAGCCCAGCTCTCTAGGATAAGTGAGGCCCTCGGAGAAGATGGAGCCTGACCCACCCCAACCAGGGCCCCTCCTCCTGGCCCTGGGCCCCCTCCATCACCCTGATGTGCCCCGAGGAGATGCAGCCGGGGAGGGGCCAGGACAGCCGCCACCCCCAGCAGGGGCCCACCCCCCCACCAGGGCCTCAGGTTCCTGCCCCTCCACGGCCCTGCCTCCAGGAAGCCCTCCGAGGCCCCTCCACCTCCACCCCCTCGCTGGCGCCTCCTGCCCCGCCCCGCCCCGCCCACCCCGGAAGTGACCTTTCATGGGGCTTGGGGGGCAGACCAGGTGCTGGCACACAGCTGGGTCTTGGACCGAGAGAGTCACTGCTGCGCCCACCGTGGGGCCCTGCCTTACCCCTGCCCCTGGGCCGCTGGGCAGCATGGCAGGGAGCGTGGCCCCCGGGCTGTCTCTGCTCCCCGTGCTCCTGGTGCTGGCCGCCGCCGACACCCTGCCTGCCGGAGGTAAGGCCTGCCCAGTCCTCCTGGGCCCAGCTCCCTCCCCCTGCCTTCCTGCCAGGGGCGCTCCTTCCGTGAAGGGTGGTCGGGTGGGGCCTGCCCTTCCCTCGGACCCGGGCCGTCACACAACACGGGCACCTGGGCAGGGGCTGCGGCTCAGTGGCCTGGCGCTGTCTTCCCTCCGTGTCAGGGAGCCAGCGCCCCGTCAGAGGGACTGCCATTTAGCTTTTATCTTCGTAGCGTCTCTTCTTGTTGTTGTCAGAGAGGAAGGGGGAGGGAGGGAGAGAGAAACATCCAAGATGAGAGGATCATTGATCGGCTGCCTCCTGCACGCCCCGCACGGGGGATGGAGCCCGCAGCCCGGGCCTGTGCCCGACCGGGAATGGAACCGTGACCTGGCCCCCGGGTTGATGCTCACCCACTGAGCCACACAGCCAGGACAGGCTTTCTTTTTCAAACAGACACACGGGAGACCAGTTACCCAAGGGGCAGGTGGGGCTCGCTGTCACAGCCCTTGTGTCCCCAAAAGTGGCAGGATTCGACAGAGACGCTGAGGTTCGGATCCCGATAGAAGGTTGTATTGTCCCAGGCGGGGCTCATGCACCAAAAGGCTGTGCCTGGTTCCCGGTCCGAGCACGTGCAGGCGGCTGCCGGTCCATGCTTCTCCCTCTCCAGCTATCCTGGGGGCTGCCATTTAATTAAAACATTCAAGTTCATTGATTGACTTGAGAGAGAGCGGAACATGGACTCGCTGTTCCACGTATGCACTGGTTGATTCTTGTCCGTGCCCTGCCCTGTGATCGACCTGGACGTACCAGGACGACCCTGTGGTCAGCAGAGCGACCGGCCGGGCCCTGGGCTGCCCTTGGAGAGAGAGACGTGGAGAGCCTGGGAGGGGTCAGGGCCTCCCAGCAAAGGGCCGCTGCTCCAAAGGAAGGAACCCCAGCTCCAGCTGTCCCACCGGGCCCTGGCGGGGAGAGGGACCCTTCAGAATCCAGAACATCCCCCTCCCCGACCCTGTGCTGGCGCCGGAGCAGCTTCAGGCTCCCTCAAGGGGCCTTGCCTGGGCGGACGTGTCCGGGGTCTGGGGTCCCTTCGCCCGCCGCCGCCCCCTGCAGAGAGGGTCTGCCCCCGGCCAGGCCTGGCGGTGACGGCGAGTCCTCCCCGCAGAGATGTGGCAGTCCCCCCTCTACGCAGTCACCCCCGAGGGGGGCTCCATCAGCATCTCCTGCTCCGTCCACACCAACGGGACACTGCTCGGGGTCCACCTGAAGCAGGGCCATGTGCCGAAGGCGCTCAGGGTGGCCTTCTACGACGGGGAGAGCGCCCCCACCGTGGACGAGCGGTTCCTGGGCCGCGTCCTCTTCTCGGGGCCCCCGGACCGCCTGACTGTCACCGTGCAGGGCCTGCGGCCCGAGGACACCGGCACCTACTTCTGCGAGGCCATCATGGAGGAGGGGAAGGCCTGGGGCGCCGGCACCACCGTGGTGGTGACAGGTAGGCAGCGCCCCTCCCTGACCGGCTCTCCCTGCCCTCCCCCCACTCCAGCCTCAGCCCACCTCCTCCAGGGGCCTCCTGGATTTCACCCCCTGTCTGCCTCCCCCCTCCCCCCACCTGTGCCCTGAAGACTCTCACAGACTCTCTCCACACTGTCCCCAGCGGCCAGCGCCTGCCCCGGGACTCAGCTGGCCCACTTCACCTTCCCCGTGGCCCTGGCCCTGGGCTGCCTCCTGGTCTTGCTGGGCCTGGCCGCCATGTGTGTGCTGAGGAGGAGGAGGAGGCAGGTCAGTATGCCCCTCGCGGTCACTGTCCCCACAAACCGGCTGCCCCGGGAGCAGGGAGGGGAGAAAAGAGGCTTCCTGTTCCCTCCATCGGGGCCTCTGGGGGCTCCCAGGACCAAGGAGGGAGCAGAACCCCAGAACTGGAGCCACCAGGAGCCCTAAGGACTCAGGGCACAGGATGCTCAGGGACTGGGCCGGGTACCGGTGAGACATCTAAGGGGTGAAGCACATGTATGACCAAGTGTGCATGCGTGTGAGCGAGCATGTGTGTGCAGAGCGTGACATCGGTGTGTGAGCCTGTGTGGACCTGTCCGAGGTGGGAGTGGACGGGGAGATGGTCACCTGAGCCCCTGGTGCCAGCCCAGGCCCCATCCCCCGACACGGTCCCTGGGGGCAAGGTCACGGCCACCCCGTCGTCGTGTTCCCCCCCCTCCCCTGGCCCACAGAGACAGGCTTCCCTTGCAGATCAGGAACCTGTGCTCGGCGCCGGACAAGAGCATGACGTGTGTGATCTACGAAGACATGTCCTGCAGCCGCCGGAACACCGTCTCCGTCCCCCACCGCGGCCAGTGAGCCGGCCACACCGTCTCCGACCCCACAGCGGCCAGTGAGCCGGCCGGCCTCTGCCCGCCTGCTCCTGGCGCCTCCTCCAGGAAGCTCTCCGTGCCTGCCTTGCACCCTCAAGGCTGCCCTGCTCGCCCTGTGGACTGCCCTGGCCCCTGGGAGCCGCCAGAGACCAGGCCGCCCTTCTCCTCACGCGGACCAGCTGGGGTCCGGGCAGCAGGCATGCCTGGCGGGTGCACTGTGTGCTGAGCCACCTGGCCTGACCCAGGCTTGTCCGCCCTCAACCAGACCTGGCCCCTTGGGACTCAGGGAAGCCGCCGGGCCAACAGCGAGGAGGCAGAGTCTGCAGGAAACAGGGATCCCGGGTCCAAGCAGCCAGGGCGGGGCTCGGCTCCAGAGGGAAGGGCTGGCGGAGGAAACGAAATCACAGATCACAGTCAGCACCACAGCAAGAGCAACCAATCGATGTTTCTCTCCTCCTCCTCCTCCTCCTCCTCCTCCTCCTCCTCCTCCCTTCCTTCCTTCCTTCCACTCTCTCTAAAAATCAATGGAAAAATACCCTCTAGTGAGGATTGACCAAGAAATAAAAGAAAAGCATCATACCTTTAGAGCCCCGGAAATAATGTTTTTAAATTAATTGACACAATCGTCAGTTTTCTGCTACAGCCTTTCACTGCCTTCTCTTTGGATGCACAGACCCCCTTCCCGCATCCCCCACCCCCGTCAGCAATTTCACGCTGTGCACACCTCAGGCTTCTTCCTGGCCACCCAGCCACCAGGAAGGGGACACAGGCACCCCGCACACCATCCTCCGCCCTGCACCACGGGGCCGGCCGGAGCTGTGGGGTGCACCTGGTGTGTCTGGCGACCTCCAAGGCTGCAGAGAGGGGGGGAGGGAGGCAGAGGACTCAGGGTGGGGGTGGGGAGCACACCTGCTCTGGGGGCCAGGAGCCCTGTGACCCCACCAGGCAGCAGCTGTTCCTGCGATGAGGACAAGGGTGGCCGTGAGCAGGGAGTCCGCCCTGGACTGAGTTGGGGAGAGATGGAGGCAGGGGGGGAGTCGCAGGGGGGGGGGGGGGCATGAGAATCACTGGTTCTGGATGCCCTGGTGCAGTAGTCAGCAAACCTCAGCTCTCGAGCCACATGCGGCTCTTTGGCCCCTTGAGTGTGGCTCTTCTACAAAATACCACGGCCTGGGGGAGTCTATTTTGAAGAAGTGGCGTTAGGTGAAGTTTAAGTTTAAAAAATTTGGCTCTCTAAAGAAATTTCACTGGTTGTGCTGTTGACATTTGGCTCCGTTGACAATGAGTTCGCAGACCACTGCCCTGGGGGAACCCTCAGGGACTGAGACTGTCACCAGAAGAGTTTCCGAGTTTATTGGAGCCAAACGGGTGACAGTTGCTGGGAGCAAGGTCTCCGTGGACTGAGAACAGAGATGGGCCTACGTTCGGCGCCTCATCTCCACATCAGATTGAGAGCGGAGACGACGGGCTCCCTGAAGCCGGCTGGTGAGGGCAGGGCGGTGGGAGACAGGGCAGGGAGCCTCGGGGGTGGGTGAAAAGTAAAATGGAGCCCTCGCTGGTTTGGCTCGGTGGACAGCGCGCCGGCCCGCCTATGGACTCAAGGGTTCGGGGTTGGATTCCCAGTTAAGGGCAGGAACCTTGATTGCATGTGTGGGAGGCAACCAATGGCTGTGTCTCTCTCTCTCTCTCTCCCATCGATGTCTCCCTGTCCCTCCCGGCCTTCCCCCCTCTAAAGGTCAATGGGAAAATAGCCCAGGTGAGGATTATCACCGACTAATTAAAACAGAGAGGAAAAGCTTCTCTGATGCTGGTGGGTATCGGACAGTCAACAAGGAGCACGTGGCTCTGTGGTGTTCAGGAACGAGATGGCGCCAGGCTGCGTGGTCCCGCCCTGGGCAGCGGTGTGTCCTGGCCGGGAAGAGGGTCACTCGGTGGAAGGTGTGGCCTCCGGCCTGACTCCCTTTCAGGCAAGAAGCTGTCCGTTCAGACCGCCCTACGTTGGCTTTGGTCTCTGTGTTGGAAAGGCCGCCTCCGAGGCCTCTCCTGACCCTGGCAGGTTGAGTTCATGGCCCCTTTCTTTTCCTCGAGGCCCACACCAAGGCCGGCCGGGCTGGGCGAGGGGAGGGGGGCAGCCGTCGCCTTAGGGTGCGGGAGCCCAGATGTCCTGGGAGGAGAAGGGCCTCGGGCAGACAAGGGGCCACGCTCAGACTGTCCGGGCCCCTCTCTGCCCCCCCCCCCAGGGTGGGCAACCCCTCCCCCAGACCTCTCCTCGCAGGCATCTGTCTGCCTCGCCACGGGGAGGCGAGGGGGTTTCCTGAGGCTGCAGTTGGGGTGCAAGAAAAGGCTGCTGGGCCTGCAGCACCCCCGACTTCTCACGCCCCCACTCGCTTGACATCCGCCCCAGCTTTACTCAGCTTTGCAGCCCCATCCTCCCGAGCCCCCTCCCCCATCACTCCCCCGGCCCGTGCCGCCCACAATGACACAAGCTTGGACCACATCCTGAGCTCTGGTCTCTCACACGGACGCTCAGCCATCCCCCTTTGGAAAAACCGCGGTTTGAACTGCTCGGTTCCTCTAGGTCTCTTACGCTGTAGGTCGACTCTGTTGTTTTTAGACTGGGAAACAACGTTGTTTTCTGCTTGAACAGAAAAGATAAACTTAATTGCCTGGCCTGGCCAGCGAGCCGTCTGAGACGCTGATGTTGATGCCAGGTAGAGATGGGACGTGTACTCAAAGCGGCACCTTGTCTGTAAGAATAACTTACACGGGGACTAAGGAAGACAAAAGGAGAATGCTTCCACCTCGGGGCGTTCAGAAAGGCACAGGAATCTGCTCTGAACCTCGCGCACTCTCTGAACAAACTGGCTCCTTAGGTGTCTGGTCCAGCGCGCTGATTTGCGGTTCAACAGCCGGTAAGTCAGGCAGCCTGTGGGTAGTCACCCTGAACTCCCACCACCACAGCCACCTGCAGCCGGCCGAGCCCAGTCCCACCGCAGGCTCAGCTGGGCCCCTCGTGCACTCAGCCCCGCCCCGGGCCCTGCCTCAGCCCGACTGCCTCCCCCACCCCAGGCGCTGCTCCCCCTCCCCCAACCTCTTCACCCCACACCGCCCGGGGCCCAGGCCTCGGAGCCAGCCCAGCCCAGCCCACCACCCGCCACGTCTCTTTCTGCCCCTCCTCCTCCTGCCCTGTCTCCTGGTGGAGGGCATCCCTTTGCAGATTCTCGGGTCACCCTGTGGGGGATGGACAGCATTTTGGGCCTCCCAAAGCCCCCTTGGTCACAGGCAGGGCTCTTCCCTGCTCAGAGGACACCCCTCAGCCTGGGGCACCCACAGCTCCTCACCCCACCAAGCCCTTCGCTGTCCCTCCGGCTCAAGCTGCTGGCTTCACTGGCCATTGAATGTGTTTAGTCCTCACAAGGCCACAGGCCCTGCAGCCCCTTTAGCAAAACCGAACCTGAGCCCGGCTAGGGTGGCTCAGTGGTTACGCATCAACCCAGGATCCAGGAGGTCAGAGTTCAATTCCCAGTCAGGGCACAGGCCCAGGTTGTGTGCTCCATCCCCAGTGTGGGGCGTGCAAGAGGCAGCCGATCCATGATTCTCTCTCATCCTGGATGTTCCCAGCTCTCCCCCCCCCTCCCTTCCTCTCTGATATCAATTAAAATAGATTTAACAATAAATAAATAAATAAAAGTAGAACCTGGCCCTCCGTGGCTGCCCGAGAGGGTTATCCAGGGACTGAGGAACTCGGGTGGTGCTGAGCTCGGGGTCGCTGCCTGTGCATCTGGCCCCGATGTCACTCTGCTCTGCCTCCCAGGCGTGGCCGATGGGCCTCGCGCTCCACGGGCCTGGAGCCGGCACCCCACAGGCTGGACACGGTCCCGGTTTGACCGGCCTGCACAGGCTTAGTTCCTAAGACAAGCTCCAGTCAGCCAGGGCCTTTTGGTCCCGCCGGCCTGAGACTAAAGGAAGGGCCTGCAGGGGAGGGAGGAGGCGAGTCAGTGTGCTGGGAGGTCAGTCTGCACAAAGGAGGGCAAAGAGCAGAGGTCACATGAAGGAAATGCAGTTCCTCCAGGAGTAGACGGGCAAGTGCCAGAGGCACTTCCTGCTGGTCTCAGGCCCTGCCCTCAGGGTCCCCCCTCCAGCCAGGGCTCTGCCCCAGGGCCCTGCAGCTGTGTGGGGGCAGTGCCCGCTCGGTGCTCACAGCTCAGTGCAATCCTGAGGTTTCCTGATTAAGGTAAACACCTGCCTGCAGGCCCCGGGGAACATGCCAGAAAGTGAGAGGGGGTAGGGGGATGGCTCTGGGCCAGACCTGAGCTGCCCAGGGGCGAGGGTCTTTTATTTTTTTAATCCTCATCTGAGGATATTTTCCCATTGATTTTATTTTATTTTATTTTATTTTTATTTTTTTAAAATATATTTTATTGATTCTTTTTTTTTTTTTACAGAGAGGAAGGGAGAGGGATAGAGAGCTAGAAACATCGATCAGTTGCCTCTTGCACACCCCAACTGGGGATATGCCCACAACCAAGATACATGCCCTTGACCAGAGTCAAACCTGGGACCTTTCAGTCTGCAGGCCCACGCTCTCTCCACTGAGCCACACCGGTTTCAGCTTTCCATTAATTTTAGAAAGCGTGGACGAGAGAAGGAAAACGGAGAGAAACATCGGTGAGAGAAACACGTCGAGGGGTTGCCTCCTGCACGTGCCCTGACCAGTGAGGAGCCTGCAACCGAGCTACGTGCCCTTTACCAGAATCCAACCCAGGACCCGTTGGTCCACAGGCCGATGCTCCATCCACTGAGCCACCCTGGCCAGGGCTCCCAGGGGTGCTTGAGGGGCTCCGGCCTTGGCTGACGGGGCCCAGGAGGTGCCTGTGGCCGCTGTCCTAAGCCCCAGACCTGCTGTGGGTCTGGGAGTGGCTGCCAGAGGCCAGTCTCCTTGGTGACCCTGCGGACAGTCAGCCCAGTCCCCAAGGCCAGTCCACA